AGAGAGAGTAGGAGGAGAAGACTCCCCATTGGTGGTCTTCCCAGCACTCCGAGCCTACTGCCCACTCAAGCTGCCAGGCTGCCTACTGAAGACCACTATTCATTCATTTCTACAGTTTCCTCCCAGAGAGTAAGGTCTCATGGTTCCAGGGTCATGGGTAGCTCTTCTTGTGGACATAGCTCTTCTTGTGGACACACAGTCCAATGGCTGTACATCGTGACACTTTGTATTTTCTTTGCCTTCTCCCCTAGAAAGAAAGCTGATCAAAGAGGCAATGCTAATTTGCATCCTCTTCAGCCATACATCAGTGAGGACTAGATAATTAATGTACATCTCTCATAGCTTAAAATAGAAATGCTCTTTCTTCTCCTGAGAAAATGCTCAGCAGCAAAGTTCCCTGGGTACACACATCCATAGTTCTTCCCCCAGACTTTATCTACTCATGGGGATCTGGAAGGAAGGCTGGGGCGGGGGGATTGAAGGGAGAGATGATTGAGTCAGTGGGGTTAGCCTAGCGATCTCAGAATCTGTGGAAAAGAGATCTCTTTATCTTCTTGATGCAACCCAAAGAGGAGCCAGGGGTCCTGGCTGTCTGCATGGCAGGAAAAATGGAAAAAAGCAGTCCAGAAGGACCTTTAAATTTGGATGACTCTTTTAGACTAGAATACATACACACACACACACACACACACACACACACACACACACACACACACCTTTGAGTCATGCTGACCTGGAATGGCATTCTGGCTCTGCTGCTTTCCAGCTGTGTGATTTGGGGCAACTTCAGCTCTCTGATGCTGTTATTCTCATCGGTGAGCTGAATGTGTTAAGAGTTTTAAAAGGGTGCCACAGCATTTAATGAATTAATGAGTGTTAAAAGGTGCCACAGCATTTAATGAAGTTGTGAGTATCCAGCATGGATGCAAGGTGGGGCATCATCAGTGTGAACAATTGTCTCCCCGAAAATAAACCCTGTGGTTTGTAGTGTTTGCCAATTTCCTCGGTGTAAATACCCTGACCTTGACCATTATCAAGCTATCAACATCTCACTAAATGCAGGGCTGGAAAGAAATTCGGGGTACCACACAGTATGGCATTTCCACCATCCAGACACAGTCAAAGCAGAAAACCTCAAAATCAGATATCACATGATATCAGAACAACATGGGGGTGGGGGCTACTGCCTTTTTATTCTGAATATGTGCTGCCTTTATTTTTAAATTACTTAATTGTAAGCTCACATAATTTAACTTTTCATGATGGTGTGTTTAACAACCACCTCACAGAACTTCTAAAATATTTACTGATTCGCTCTCACAGTCAGGACAAGCCAGCTCAGGCACATTGTAGAGCACAGGCTTAGATAGTCAATAAATACAACGTCCCTTCCCTCTTCCCTTCCTTTCTTCAACTAGGAAGGTTTCCTGAAGGTTTTCCCTTACAGGCATCATGCTTTGCCTTTGTTTAGGACCCCTCTGGGCCACCGTACCAGGTCTGAGTCTGTACTAAATCCCAGTGAAGGTCACAGCCCTCCTCATACCACATAACTGCCCTTTCATTTTTTTCCCAAGCTGGGGATGCCGAGGAACCACCAACCCCCGAGATGGAGTTTCTGCCCAGTTAGGAAAGGTGGTGATGGGTACTGCAGGGCCCTCCGTGGTAAGAGTGGAGACTTAGTTTATTTTAGGATCGCTGTCTGGATCGGGATTGGGAAAGCATGGTCAGCAGGCTGTACTTGGGCAAGCCGGAGCCTATAATTAGCCTCTACTTGAGGGTGGAATAAACCCTTGATTGTTACTAAACAACAGCAAAAAGCAGGAAGGCCTCCAGACTCCCGCAGCCCTGGGCCCACACAGCCTCCAAGGATAGAGATTTGGATGCAGCCACCATATCGGCCTGGCAGGCAGCATCCAAATTACTCCCGTTCTCAGCCCAGAATGAAAACTCAAAGGCCGTGGAGGAGCCAAATCAAGGGGACCGGCCTTGTCTGACCTCTGAGAACTCTGCCTTTCTACCTGGTGTCCTTGGGCGTGGCTTTGAGCATCTTCGTATTAATTAATATCTGGAATCTGTAATAGATGGGAGATGTCACAAAGCCATGTGCCCCATAGCACTGTAGCAGGGCAAAGTGAAGAAAGTCTTTGGAGATCACAAGCTTGTGTACCCAAAGCCCAGGGTCAGTACTGCCTGGGAAGACTTGAAGCAGCCATGGTTCCACCTTCTTTCTGCTTTTGCAGAACTTTTGCAGAACTGTATCCTGCCCTCTACACACACACACACACACACACACACACACACACACACACACACGCACGCACGCACGCACATGCACAAATATACACACACATGCAGACACAAAAATATACACACAAAAAAATGCACACACGTGCTTACACACTTGCACAAACACCCACACATACTTGGCTTTGTTTCTTTGACTTTTTCCTTTTCTTGTTTAAATAAACTTAATTATACAAAAATTTCAAGAAACCTATTTTAAGAGTTTTGATTGTCAATTCCCTAGGCTCCACATTCAAACATTCGAAACACTCAACAAGGCAAATCAAAAGTCCAAGGCCTGTTTGAGCTGTACAGTCAGTTCAAGACAAGCCTAGACAACATCGTGAGACCTAATCTGAAGACAGAAGGAAAGAGCCAGTGAGATGGCTCGGTGCATAAAAATGCCTGCCACCCAAGCCTGATGATACAACTTGAACCCAAGAACTGACATGAAAGGAGAAAAATCCCAGGAACATTTGGAAACTCCCTTCTTAATGGCTCCTTGGAAATAACCTTCAAACCAGATCCAGGGAATGACTGAGAACGGTCACCCATGATCACACCATTCATTTACTCATACATTCATTCAATAAGTTTTGAAGCATGTCAGCCAGTCTGGACATGGTGGTGCATGCCCGTAACACCAGCACTCAGGCAGAGGCAGAAAGTTCAGTGCCAGCCTGGTCTCGTAGTGAGTTCCAGGCTGGTGGGGGCTGTGTACTTTTGGGGACCCTGTCTCACAAAAGTAAAAATGACAGAGACCTGTAATCCTGGCTACTCAGGGTTCCAAGGCAGGAGAAGTGCAATGTCAAGGCCTTCTCGGGCTAGAGAACAAATTCAAAGACAGCCCGTACAACTTAGGGAACGCTATCTCAAAATAAAATGTACAAAGCGAGCTGGAGATATGTAGTGGTAGAGCACTTGCCTAGCATGCTAAGGCCCTGGGTTCAAGGTTCAGCGCTGAAGGAAAAAAAGTGTATAAGCCCCAGCCTGGGGGAGTGGGTAGGGCTTCTTAAACCAGTGGAAGAAGAGAAGGTGGGTTAAGGAGAGAAAGTCTTTTTTAAAAGATTTATTCTGATGTGAATGTGAGTGCATGTGCCACATGGATTCAGTTACCCAAGGAGGCCAGAAAAGGCGTCAGATACCCTGGTGCTGGAGTTACAGGCAGTTGTGAGACACTGGATTTTCGGAAACAGAACTCAGATCCTCTGGAAGAGCCACAAACACTCTTAACTGCCAGCCCATCTCTCCGATTCACGAAGTTCCACTTGTGGGGGAAGCAATGATTATGCTCCTTGGCCCCAGTCTGACCATCCATCAGATTTAGTTTCATTTCACTGAATCTCCCACTAGCAAAGACTGAACTCTTCTTGAGCCTGGCCCTTGAGCACACTGGCAAGTGGATGAAGTAGACCATCTCCTTGCCCGTGTATTTCTTACCTTCTAACCTTATTCCTGTCTTTCACCTCCTATGCAATAAAGATCTAGAAACTCTAGGCCCAGGGGTGTATAAATGAAGCCTATATGCTCAGTAGTGTATAGTTGGCTAATAACAGGGGGGTTGCTTCTATTTTTAGCTCCTTGAGGTTCGTTGTTGTTTTTATGGTTTTGTTTATTCTTTGAGAAACCTCCACATAGCTTTCCATAACGGCTGCATTAATTCACCTTGCCACAATGATGTGCAACCGCTCCCTATCCTTACCAGAACTTGTTATCATTCATCTTCTTGATAACATATACCTTACTGGTAGGAGGCCAGATCTTGCTGGGGTTTTAATTTGCATTCCCCTGATGATCAGTGATGCTGAGCATGCTAATTAGCTTGATATAATCATTCCACAATGTAAAGTGTATATTAAAGCCTCAGATTGTTCTCTATAAATGCACAACCATTACCAGCTAAAAATGAAAATTCTTGGCTAGGTGTGGTGGAACATGTCTGCAATCCCAGGACTAGTGGGATGGAGATTGTAGGTTTGGGGCTAGCCTGCCCTATACAGCAAGATCCCGTCTCAAAACAAAAAGTATTCTTTTCATTTATTTTTACTAATTTGTGTGTGTGTGTATGTATAGTTGCTTTGCCTGCTTATATGTCTGTGTACCACATGCATGTCCGGTGCTCACTGAGACCAGAAGATGTCAGATACCCTGGGTCTGGAGTTACAGACCATTGTTTAGCCACCACGTCGGTGCTAGAAATCAAACTCTGGTCCTCTGGAGGAGCAGCCAGTGCTCTTAACTGCTGAGCCATCTCTCCAGCCCTATTCACAACTATTCCTAAAAATAACCTTGAACCCATATATACATTTGTGTGTATTATATATGAATATGCATGTAAACACACACACACACACACACACACACACACACACACACACACACACACACACAGACCTGTGACACAAAGCCAGTGAGACTTCCGTGCAGGAGCCAGACCACGTTCCTGGAGGAGCTGAGAGCTCCAGGCTGTGGCAGCGGCTATGAACTCATCTATCTTTGAATCACGATTTTATCCTAAAAAACCTTACTCTAAATCTCACTCTAAAATGTCTGAAGGACACCCAGATTTATGCCTTCTTATCTCCTTCTCCTTCTTGTCTTCAGAGAGGGAGACTCATCCTGAAAGACAAGATGCTCTTGTGAAGCTTCAGCTCCTTCTCCAGAGCTCCGGGCCCCACACAAGCCACTGCTAAGCACCCCCCTTCTCTTTGTTCCAGGTGGGAGAGGCTGTCTTGGAAAATGCCCGGATTATGCTGCAGATGGAGACGACCCAAGCTGGCGCGGATGACTTTAAAGAGAGGTAACGCTCTGCGGCAAGGGTCCCTCCCTCCCCACCCAGACTCCAGACCATTGCAGATAATGCTGCCCCAGAGTACACACCAGTCCCTTCCACCACAGCAGAAAGGTGGCCTGAGACAACAGGGACTCTAGGAAAACCCAGCCACAAAAAATCAGGACTTAGGGGCTCAAGGACTGTGCGCAGCGTTACTTGCTCTAGAAAAGGGTCTTTTTAAAGAAAAAGTATTATTAGTGGTGTGTGTGTGTGTGTGTGTGTGTGTGTGTGTGTGTGTGTGTGTACATTTGTCATGGTACACATGTGGAAGTCAGAATACAACATGTGAGAGCTGGTTTTTCTCCTTCTACCATGGAGTTTCCAGGGATTGAACTCAGGTACTCAGGCTTGGCAGCAAGCCTCTTTACATACTGAGCCATCTTGCCAGCCCTTTTTTTGGTTTGGTTTGGCTTGGTTCCTTCAGTTCTTGTTTTGTTTTGTTGTTGTTATTTAAGATGAGGTCTCATGGAGCTAAGGTTGGACTGAACTCATTGCGTAGCCAAGGACAACCTTGAACAACTGATCTTTCCACCTTCAACTTCCAAGTGTCGTGACTAGAGGCATGATTCACCATGCTTGGCTTATTTTGAGATGGTATTTCACTCTGCTGACCAGGACAGCCTTGAACCCTCAACTTACATACTTTGTAGGACTACCAAAGTAGCGAGTGACTTTGGGTATTTCCAGAGTCAAACTCACCTTTTTATAAGACTAGAGGTTTAAGCTTTTATACAAAGAAATAAGCAAGTATTAGAGCTTTCCACAAGTGGACCATTGGCCTTGAGAGGGAATGAGTTCCTCAGCACCCAGAACATACAAGTAGAGGCCTCGACAAAATCACCTGTCACAAATGTGTCCCTAGGGATTCTGAATATTGAAATTTATTACAGGGGTTGGGGATGCAGTTCAGAAGACAGTGCTTGCTTGGCATGCTCAATCCCCAGTGTCCTCCACCACCACCACCACCACACACACACACACACACACACACACACACACACACACACACACACATCTTAAAGTAAAGACTTATAACTCTAAAACCTGAAGGTACTTCCTGGAATAGAAATGTGGATTTTGCCCTCCTATGGATGTATGGAGGCAACTGGGAAATTCAGCTGAGTGGTACCATCATGGTGTGAAGAAAAGGTACCAGGAGAAATCAACGAAGATGTTAGGTAGTGTTTAGAAAGAGAGCCTGAGGGTTGAAACTCAACATGGACAGTTTTGATACAAGCATGTCCACATACATATTCATTGTTTTAAAAGCCGTGTGCTTTTTGTTGTTTTGTTTGTTTCGTTGGTTGGTTGGCTGTGTTTGTTTGTGATGTGGATATTCAACTCAGGCCCCTCACAAGCAAGGAAAGTGTTCTACTACTGATCTGTCATTTAAATCTCTGGATAGATAAATCCATGCTTCTCCCTTCCGCTAGAGAGAGCAGGGACAAGCCAAAAGCACCTTGCTACACAATAGATATGGGCAGACCTGAGCAGCAGCGCCCCCTGTAGGTTAAGTGAAGTATGTACTCTGATAGGATTCATCGCCACCTCTCTCTGTGCCCACTCCTTGCCATGGTCCCTCCTTTACACCACCTACTTGAGTTTGCAGCCACTGTCAAGAATTGCAGTATAGCGTTCATTTCTGGATCCCCAGTCTGATACTTAGCAGGTCTTCAACGATGGTAAACGATCCTTGGATGAAGAGGAGGACTGCTCAGTACAGAGACAGAGATGTGGTATTACCTTTCTGTGATGAGAACCCCTGAGAGTACCCCAGCTCCAAAGGTCTCATGAAGCTGTGTTCCCAGAAGCTGGCTGCTAATGTGTTCATGTTAATGTTCCTGCAGCAATAACAGTAACAGTGGCCCCAAAGCCACTGGAACACCATGAGCATTCGCTGCCTGTCACATGTGGGCCTCTGGGTAATAGCTACAATCCGGTTTGTTTCCCCTTCGGGGGCTACCCAGCTAAGCTGATGAAGTCCCTTTGTCTGCAGATATGAAAATGAGCAGCCGTTCCGGAAAGCAGCAGAAGAGGAAGTAAGCTCTCTGTACAGAGTCATTGATGAAGCTAATTTGACAAAGACGGATCTGGAGCATCAGATAGAAAGCCTGAAAGAAGAACTGGGCTTCCTGTCCCGGAGCTATGAAGAGGTAGGTGGGGCCGGGGGTGCTAGGCTTCTCCCTCCCAAAGCAAGGCACTCACCTGTGCGGTTGTGACCTCCGAACACAGGTGTTGGGGACTCTTCCCTGTGTTGCTCACCCAGGCCCTCAAGGAAAATGCTAGTAAAGGCCTTTATAGTCTTTGCCATGGATCAGATTACTCCCTGCAAAAGTCTGAAACTCGAGTGTCTTCAAGAACCAGGGCAAAACATATGTGGAAGCAACGTCCATAATCAGAAGTGACTCTTAGAACTACTTGAAAATGAGGAGAGGGTCTCCTAAAGTGTTCTATTTCAGATTTTTTTTCAACACTCCATGAACAGGATAAACTGAATAATTCTAAAGACAGACCCACACTTTAGTTCCCACACACTCATTAACAAAAGAAGGCTGTATCTGTAAGTGACAGGCCCAGAAGGTACCTTGGAGGGATGCAGGGATGTGGTCTCACCACCTGCAGGAAGCACTAAGCCACCACACAGAAATCACTGTCTGACTCGTGGTCCAGGGTGCTTCAAGCTGAGCATCATACCTCACTGAACCATGCTGGCACTGGGAGGTTCCTCCTGTGTCCAGCCTGAAGGGGACAGCGACTATATGCCCACTCCTTCCTGTTCCTGGTTCAGTTCCTGAAGACCATGCCCCAGCAGTAACCCCTTAGACTCCAGAGTTAGCTTTAATCTCCTTTAGTATATCCTGATTTGGTGCCAAACTTCTGTATGTTACTATACTATATCCATATACTTACTTTTGATTATGTGTTTATTTAGTTTTTTGCTTTGGGCACGGGAATGGGCTTGAGAAAATCTAAGAAATGCGTCCTTCAGAAAAGAAAACAATACCTACACCTAGAAGACCTGGGACTTTGCCGGTCTCTGTGATGCCCATGCATGATATGCAAAATAAACAAACACATTGACTGATTGATGATAGATAGATAGATAGATAGATAGATAGATAGATAGATAGATAGATAGATAGATAGATAGATAGATGGAGGCAGAGTAGTGCCCACAGAGCCAGCTGTTCCTGGCTAGACTTTCACATCTGTTCTTTCCTCCCTGGAGCTTACCTAAAGTGTCCAATGTTGTTTTCAGGATGTGAAGGTTCTGTACAAACAGCTGTCAGGGTCTGAGCTGGAGCAAACAGATGTTCCCATGGGCACTGGTCTGGACGATGTCCTTGAGACAATCCGAATTCAGTGGGAGAGAGATGTGGAAAAGAATCGAGCAGAAGCAGGAGCCTTGCTCCAAGCTAAGGTAAGAGACAGGCCAGCATCTTCCCCTGGGCCCTGGAAAGAAGGAGGCCAAGCAAGATGGAGGCAGCCAGTATGTAGAAGAAAAGCAGCCTTTTAGCGACAAGCTTGGTCCCCGTAGAAAAAGGAGAAATGCAAACTAAAGTAATAATGCTTGTTTGCCTCTCTGAAATAAGAAAATGTTTAAAATGACAATGTTCAATTCTGGCAAATGTGTAAAGGATTCTCCACTGCATCATCAAAGATATAAGGTATAAGCTGCTATCCAACCTTTGAATAGGGATTTTATCTTCTGTATCAAGAGTGTTTATATGCTCCTATCTGCTACCTGCTGCCTGCTACCCACTAGCTGAACAATCCGGACAGCACCTTAAAGAAAGCATTAGGAATACAAGGGGTAAGGATGCAGCTCAGCGAAAGAGTGCAGAAAGAGGGAAAGGAGAAGTAGGGGGAGATAGATAGATAGATAGATAGATAGATAGATAGATAGATAGATAGATAGATAGATAGATAGATAGAGATTATATCTAAATCTACTCCCTGAAGCATTTTAAGGGTTAAATAAAAAGGTGGTAAAAATATATAAATGTCTTACCGTAAGAGAAAAACTACACCATCACCTGACTATGTTATGTGCAATGAAACCTGCTATTAGAAAGGATGCTTATGAAGTAATTATAATGACACAGGGAAAGCCTGTAGAAAGCAAAATGGAAGAAAAGAAACTACAGAATGGTCTATACTAGGGACTGACAAAAAGGGTTTTGTTAAACAGTAAGTGCTTTAGACTTGGGAAGTCAGATGATTTCTGTTGCGGCCCCTCATCTTTGCCCTGTAGTGTAAAAGCAACCAGAAACAATAGATAGCAGCAAGCATTCCTGTGTTCCAATGAAACTCTATTCATAGCTGGGCATGCTTTTGATCCAAGCACTTGGGAGGCAGAGGCAAGTGAATATCTGTGAGTTCAAGACCAGCCTCATCCCTATAGCTAGTTCTAAGACCCGTCTCAAAAAACAAATTATAGAAACAGAAAGTGGACTAGACTTGGCTGTTAAGTTGCCAACTCCTGCTATATACAGTACAGCACGGTTCTCAAGGGGTGTCCACAAAACTTAGCCCAACATGTTAGTGGCATCAGCAGCGGGTTGCCTTTGAATAGCTGACTTACCTGACACTTGGAGATGTTATTTTTTTTTCTTTTGAGTATTTCGCAAGTTAATTTTTTAAGTAACCTGAATCATATTAATGAGGAAAAAAAGCCAAGTTGTATGAAACCTCACAAATAACAAAAGAATTACTAGAAAATAGACTCTAGAAGGCTTGTCCTTCTGGTCTGCCCCTGTTACTCACCTGGGGACCTGGAAATGAGAAGGAGAGGGAGGAGCATATGAAGGAACTGGGAAAGACAAGCCAGCCGCCGCTGGTGCTCAGCTGGTCAATTCCATGCCAAATGCACAGTAGGATTGTCTCAGAAATAGTGTCCATGGTGCACTCTAGAACAATTAAATCAGAAGTAGCAGAAAGACTTTGAGATTTTCTTATTATTATTAATAAAAGTTCTCAGGGGCTGAAGAGATGGAGCCATGGTTAAGAGCACATACTGCTCTTGCTGAGGACCTGAGTTTAGTTCCTATCACCCATAGCAGACAGCTCACAATCACCTGTAACTCCTGCTCCAGGAGATACAGCATCCTCTTCTGGCCTCTGATGCATTTGCATCTACAGGTACACACATGTGCATGCACACATGCACACATTCGTGGATACACTTAAATACTAAAGTAAGTCATTTTTAAAGTTCTCTGGACAGTTGTGACCTTTCTTCAGCCTTGAAGGCCATGACAATCCCAAGAGCTGCCAAAGACAAAAGGAGGACCCTTCGCCACTTGCCTCTCCCTGACTCTCCATCCCTCAAACCCCTAATGACCAACAGGACCATTTTAGCAGGATCTTCCCCGATTCTGCATCCCTCAAATGTTCATTTTTACCCCACCCCTATTTCTCCACTCCTGTTCCCCACCCCCTACCCTTTCTGTTGGGAGATATTACTACATCGAGTAAAATGAAGTCAAATCAGAGAGCAGATCTGCCTCTTTTTAAAGAGATGCATGAATATTGAAGGGGCCTGGGGTCCATCTAAAACCATTCTCTCAAGCACTGAGTTGTATTTAAGAGATGAGAAAACTGAGACCCAGAAAGTGCAAGTGAATCCCCAAGGTCACTCGGCTGATTGGTAGCACCAGGCACAACTCTGCTGGCTCCGAGTCTAAAGAACTTCCTTCTGTAACGTCAACTTCTTTCTTCCTCTCCTTCTTCTCCTTCTCCTCCTTCTCCTTCTCCTTCTCCTTCTTCTCCTTCTCCTCCTCCTCCTCCTTCTTCTAAACTTTTGAAACAGTCTCATATATTATAAGCTGACCTCAAACTCCATATGTAGGCAACGATGACCCTGAACTCTTTTTTAATTATTTATTTTATGTGTATGTGTGTGTGCCTGAGTGTATGTATGTGTGCCACATGCATGCAGTGCCAGTGAACGTCAGAAGAGGGCATTAGATCCCCCGATGCTGGAATGACAGGCAGTTATGAGCTACCATGTGGGTGCTGGGAACCCACATGGTCTTCTACAAGAACAGTGATTACTCTTAGCCACTGAGCCATCTCTCCAGTCCCACCCTTGAAATCTTGATACTTCTGCTTCTGCCTCCTAAGAGCCAGGCTGACAGGTGAGCACCACCACACCCATCTGGTCCATTTGCTTGTTTGAGTTAGGGTCTCCCTGTGTAGCCCAGGCTCTACCTGATCTCCCCATTCTCCTGCTTCAGCTTCCCATGTGCTAAGATTACAGCTGTGCCATGAGAACACTATCCACAGAATCAACTAAGCAGGGCTCCTAGGGGCCTACAGAGCCTCAAGCAACAATCATGGACCCTGTATGGGTCTGAGCTCCTCTGCATATACTTTGTGGTTGTTGTGGTAGTTTGGATGTAATTGCTCAATAGGAAGTGGCACTATTGGGGAGATGTGGTTTGTTGCAGTGGCTATGGCTTTGCTGGAGGAAGTGTGTCACCGTGGGGGTGGGCTTTGAGGTCTCATATATGCTCAAGCTACATCCAGTATCTCAGACCACTTCCTGTTACCTGTGGGATCAAGATGTAGCTCCTTCTTCACTCTCAGCTCCTTCTCCAGCACCATGTCTGCCTGCATGCCTCCATGTCCTGCCATGGTGATAATGGACTAGACCTCTGAAATTGTAAGCCACACAATTAAATGTTTTCCATTATAAGAGTTGCTATGATCATGGTGTCTTTTCACAGCAACAGAAGCCCTAATGAAAACAGTTGTGTAGCTGGGTGATCTTGTGGGGCTCCTAACAGTGGGAGTTAGGGCTGTCTCTGACTCTTTTGCCTGAGCTTGGGACCCTTTTCCTCCTACTGGGTTGCCTCATACAACCTTGATATGAGAGTTGGTGCCTAGTCCTATTGTACCTTGTTATGCCTGTTTGTTTGATATCCCTAGGGGGCCTGCTCTTTTTGTGAAGGGAGGAGTGGATCTGGAGGAGGGGGTGGGAGGAGGACTGGGAGGAGTGAAGGAAGGGGAAACTGCCATCAGGATGTTATGTAAGACCGAAGAATAAAAGAAAAAAAGACAAAGTTAGTTACCACTGAGAAGAGAGAGTATGGGAGATTAGAAAAAAAAAAAAAGAGTACAGGTGTGCACCACCACACCTGGCTGGCTGTCTTTCCTAGCTCTGTTTCCAAAGCTATTCCCAGGAAGCCCAGCCGTTTGCAGCCTGACTTCCCCTCCGAGCACTGCTGGAGTGCACACCACACTGAGTGACTGTATCTTTAAAAAATGGTCTGGGTCATTGTTGTTATCTAAAATAAATCCTGCCTAGTGTGAAAATTAAAACCCCCAACAAAACTAGCAATTACCATTCACCCCGTCATCTGCTAATCATCATCAGCTCAACAATAATTCAAACATTAATTCTGAACAGATCCATTAGTGTTTTTGACAGAGTGATCTGAAAGCCACATCTCACAGAAGACACACAGCACTTGTTTTCATTTGGCCAGGACTGCCTGGGCCTCTTGCAGAGACACAGAACTCAGAAAATATTTGCAGAACGAGTGATTTCCTCTGATTGTCAACAGAGATCCGAACTGACAGCCAGAATTCCTGCAATAAATAGCTCTGTCGGCCGTGCCTGTCCCCTCGGGGGTTGACATTTGCCTGCCCTGAGCATCTCAAGTCTGCTACTTGGCAGCAGAGCCAAGTGGGAAGGCTCAGCACTGCTTCCACAGGCCTTCAGAAAGGGAAGGAAAACACACATTTAATTACCTTTTGGCCCAAGGAGGCTGAAAATTAATTAACATGATTAATTTATGTCTTAGTTTATGCTTCCCCAGAAGCTGATCTGGAGATAAATAGTGGAGTGGCGGTGATTTATTTGGAATTAGTGGGTGAGTCAGGGGTGGGAGCAGCAGTAAAGGGGAAGCGGAGAAGGGAACCAACAAAGGCTGTCTTTGAGAGGAGCAGCTGAGTTTGGAGCAGAAGCTCAAAGGGATGCTGAGAAGTGGTGCAGACTGCAGAGGAAGGAGGCAAGGGGGCTGCAGCGGACATTGATGCTTCAGCTATCTGCTGGCCAAGTGACCTTCCCAGTGCTTCGGGGCAAGCTCAGGCAGAGATGCAGAGTCAGGCAGTGGGGAGCTGGACCATGAAACACTGAAGGCCCGAGGGAGGAAGACAGGTGCCCATGAGCATCTGACGCAACTAGAGGCCCAGCTTTTTCTGGTATGTGCTTGTTGGTTGTCTTGGGTGTGGTGTGTGTGTGTGTATACAGATATGTGTGTCTACAGGTGTGTGTGTACAGGTGTGCATGTGTGTGTATACAGGTGTGTGTGTATATATAGGTGTGCACGTGTGTGTGTGTGTGTATACAGATATATGTGTATACAGATATGTGTGTCTACAAGTATATGTGTGTACATATGTGTGTATGTGTACAGGTGTGTGTGTGTGTATATATATATAGGTGTGTGTGTGTGTGTGTGTGTGTGTGTGTGTGTGTGTGTGTATAATCAAGAGGACAAGCTCAACTATCTGAGGAATGCCATCTACCTTGTCCAGTTTTTTGTTTGGGGGTTTGTTTGTTTGTTTGTTTGTTGAGTCAGGGTCTCTCATTGGCCTGGAATACAGTAATTAGACTATAGGCAGTCCAGCAAACCCCAGGGGTTCCCCTCTCCCTCTGCCTCTCCAGCACTGGGATTACAAGTGTCACCACCACACTGGCTTTGTTGGTGCCTTTGTTCTTGACGTGGGTTCTGGGACTCAAAGTCCTCATGCTTTCAGGGTAAACACTTTACTGCAGACAGCGATCCCCGCAGCCCTGTTTCTGCATTTGTGGTGGGGACGAGCCCTCTGACACCAGGAACAAAATTAACCATTCTTCCTCCAAGTGGTCCACATCAGGCATCTCCCTGCAGCAGTGTGACATCCCTAGTACAGCCACCTTTATCTTCAGCTCTAGAACAGCGCGGGTCTCAGTGAGCAGAGGGGGCTGGTTTCACAGAGCAGGGTTGAAGACCGTACAAACAAAAGAAAGAGCAGTCACCTCAAGGCCACTTGACTTGCAAACTGAGGACAGAGAGACAGAACAAGAGAGAAACAACTGATGCGAAGGTCAAGGTTGCCTTTTTGGTGTATTTTGGGATTAACTCTGACAGAGAGATTTGGCAGCGATGTGGCTAACCTTGAATTCTCATAGTCAGACAATCAGCTGAGTTTCACTCCGTGGGTGGAATCTGAACACAAATGACTCTATTTTTATTTCTTCTCCTGCTACGCTGAGGCCTTCCAAAGGAACTTGTTTGAGAATGGTGCCCTGCACTTTTATTATTATTATTATTATTGAATTTTAGTCTTATTTATTTACTTCTTATTCATTGAGTCAGGTTCTTGTTATGTAGCCCAGCCTGGCCTCCAATTCCCAATCCTTCTACCGATGCCTCCCAAGTTCCTGGGTCATAGTATATGTCACCCACCAAGCTAGACGTTTTTAAAATCACACCAAATGTCTACACCTCTTGTACACCAAGAAATTCTTCCAATACCAACCGCATGTCCCACGATTTGATTTAGTTCTGGCATCCTGTACCTGAGGTTTTTGCCAGATCCTATAGGTTAAGGGTTCAGTTCCACTAACCTGCCCTTGACTTCAGCTGACAATCAAGTCTGCCCTTCTCACTTCTGATCAACTATCCCTACTGGGGGATTTCCATAACCCCCTCCTCAGATCCCATTAACTGCTAGAACAGTGCTTGTTTTCTCCCATTCTCTATAACGGACGCGGCTCCGAACAGTCAAGTGGGATAGATGCATGAGGTCAGATGTAGGATGGAGCTACAGAGCTGTGTCCCCTCCCAGAGCACCACCCTCTCTCCCCACACCTCCACTGCCTACCAACCTGGAAGCTCTCCAGTGCTTGCGTGGCCTTCTGGGGTTCACGCTGCCTTCATTCTAGACATAATTAATTAAATCACCATTAGCAATTAAGTCAGCTCTCACTGATTCAGTCCCTCTCCCCTCCCTGAGTCAGGAGTGAGGGTAAAAGCTCTAGCTTCTAATCACAGCATGTGGTGAGGGGAGCCACCAACCCCCACACCCTTTAGGGTCTCACTAAAGACATCTCTTTAACATGAACGTGAGTGTTGTTAAACGAGGTTTGTTACCAATGATAGGAAAACACACTCCTTTTATTTTTATTTTTTTCACTTTGGAGCTATTTCAGGATCTAGAAACAAAAACTAATCATAACTGAGAACACTCCTTCGGCTCTCATCATCTAGGAAGTTGCCAGGGTTTTAAGAGCTCTGGCTGGGAGCCAGAGACAAAGACCAAAAATATCAAATATGTTTCATTATGTCACAATATCACACATTGGAGTACCTTCTCCAACCTGCAGCCAAATGACCTTACAAAGACCACCTGGGTAAATCGCTGGAGTGTCTGCTGTCATCCACCCCGTTCCCAGCAAGCCAGGAAGCAGAGTGCTCACACAGAAGCAGGGTCGGTCCATAATCCGCAGATACTGTGGTCAGACATCCCCACTAAAGGATCCGTAACTGGGGACCAAGCATTTAGACACATGAGTTTGTGCAGGGTAGCTCACATCCAGATCACAACAACTCCCATTTCACAGATATATTTAACAGAAAGAATGGGAGAGGAGGCTGAAGGAAGGGGCCAGAGGGGAGGGAAGGAGGAGAGAGAGTGTCTTCTGATTTCCCTGATTTCATGTAAGCTTTTCCATCACAGAATGTGTTCATTTCAGTGGTGGCCTTTGAGCCCCACAAAAATGATGCTCTGGGCAGCCCAAAACACACTTTCAAAGGTACTATATTCTTTGGGGCTAGAGAGATTGCTCCGCAGTTAAAAGCACTTGCTGATCCTATAGAGGGTTCAGTTCCCAGCACCCACGTGGCAGCTCACAACTGTCTATAACTCCAGTTTCGAGAAACCAGATGCCCTCTTCTGGCCTCCAAGAGTACCAGGCATGCATATGGTATACATACATATAGGAAAAATATTCATACTTATAAGAAAATTAATCCATTAAAAAAAATAGGTCTGTTTCAGCCAACAGAAGAACAGTATCTGTGTTGGGTCCTTGGTCTGATTAAATCAGCCTCACCCTGATGCTCTTACTTTTGATGAACTTTAGGCCAACCAACTTAGAGGCAGGACACTTTCAAAAGCTATTCGCCTCGTTATATAACATAGCCTAGTGGTTTGAAAATGAAATGGCCCCCAAACTCTTTTGTGTTACTGTTAAGAGGTGTGGCCTTCTTGGAGTGGGTGTGTCCTCATTGGAGGAAGTATGTCACTGTGGGGGCGGGCTTGGAGGGCTCCTATGCTCAAGAGCCCAGTGTGTTAGTCTACTTCCTGTTGCCTGCATATCAACATGTTGCAGCTCCATTCTCCAGCACCATGTCTGCCTGCATGCTGCCATGTTTCCTACTGTGATGATAATAATGGACTAACCCTCTGAACTAGAAGCTAGCCCAAATTAAAATTGTTCTTTTGTAAGAGTTGCTGTGGTCATGGTGTCTCTTCATAGCAATAGAAACCCTAAGACACCTAGTCATGAGCTGATTTCAGAGGGCAGAGACGGAGGAGGCCATCTGAGAAC